CCCCCCCCCCCGAGTTTAATTTTCTATATTAAAATGTTCTATATCTCGATCTGGGCGGTTTTGCATGAATTTATCGATGACAAATATTCCCTTAAGTCAATATTCACTTAATTGCTATATGCAAGTTTTACCTCAATTAAGAAACATATTAGTGAAAAATAACAAAATAAGAATGATATGTCTAGAAAAAAACCTGAGTTTTCTTGAAGTATCTAATATATTAAGAATTGAACTAAAATGTATAAAAAGGATTAACATATAGATTCATTATTATATTAAAATAATAAATTATGGGGGCGCCTGGGTGGCGCAGTCGGTTAAGCGTCCGACTTCAGCCAGGTCACGATCTCGCGGTCCGTGAGTTCCAGCCCCGCGTCAGGCTCTGGGCTGATGACTCAGAGCCTGGAGCCTGTTTCCGATTCTGTGTCTCCCTCTCTCTCTGCCCCTCCCCCGTTCATGCTCTGTTTCTCTCTGTCCCAAAAATAAATAAACGTTGAAAAAAAAAATTAAAAAAAAAATAATAAATTATGATTTGTGAAACAAATTAGCATATGCAATTAATCAGCTTCAGGGTTATTCACTACTAAATAAGGAAAATGCAAGTAAAAACTATACATAAAGTAGAAGATAGCAAAAGTGTTCTAAACATATAATCTTACCATCTGCTTTGCTGCCTTCTTCCATCAAGAGTTTTGCAATATTAAAGAATCCTTTTGCAGATGCAAGGTGGAGGGGCCTATCTCCAACTTCACCACTTACATTTACATCAGCACCAAATTTCAAAAGAAGGCGGGTTACCTAAAGGATCCATTCATTTGAAATTAGTATCAAAAGTCAAACAATAAAGCAAAGCTTTCAAAAATATGGAAGAAGACATATCATTAAATACTTCTCTTAGATTATTTTTACCTGAAAATAGCAGCAAATCTTAACTAAACTGGCCTAGACAATAAGGAATTTATTATTGTATCACCTCACAAGAAGTCAAAAATTGGAGCAATTTCAAGGTTGGATCTTCAGTGTACATAAATAATCCTCTCTAAAGTCACTCATAATCTGCCCCGAACCACCTTTTCCAAAGCTGTCTTCTGGCTAAAGCCAGCAGTATTTACTTGATTCTTCATTTTCACAGCAACTCCATGCATAGGTCACTGATGGCCATCTTATTACCAGAGTTCTGGGTTCTTTTCTGAATTTATGAATAAATGGGACATAGCTGAACTATCAGCATCTTCCTCAATTAGCTGAGATCCACACCCAAAGGAAGAGAGAGAGATGGAATGTTATTCAACTTAGGAGTCTTCCAGGCATTGTTACAGGTAATTCATAGGACTTCTTTTTTTTTTTTTTTAGCATTTTATTTATTTTTGAGACAGGGAGAGACAGAGCATGAACAGGGGAGGGTCAGAGAGAGGGAAACACAGAATCTGAAACAGGCTCCAGGCTCTGAGCTGTCAGCACAGAACCCGACGCGGGGCTCGAACTCATGGACGGTGAGATCATGACCAGAGCCGAAGTCGGCCGCTTAACCGACTGAGCCACCCAGGCGCCCCTCATAGGATTTCTTTAAATTATTTATAATATCTACTTATTACTTATTATTAGTCTTAATTAATTATTATACTACTTATTATACTACTTATTTATAATAAGTAATAAGTAATATATTAAATAATAATATTACTTATTACTTATATATCTTCTTACTACTTATTATTTCCAAATAATTTCTCCAAATCTGACATTGTCTCTTCTGGGAATTGCAGAAGTCATTATAATGATCTGAAGAGGTAAATTAGAGGTAAGTTTGTGCCATCAAAATAACAGTTATGGGAGAAGCCCTCAACTGACCTGACAACTTAAGTGTTACCATAAAAGTGAATTCAAACTCCAAAACTATTTTGACTTTCTATGTGGCAGCAAACAGACATGTCTTGAACAGAAAACTGTCAAGAATATGGTACATATTTGATAGAAATTCTAGGCAAAAAAAAAAAAAAATTAGCAGTATGGGATGTAGAAAAACATCCTATTGAGTGTAGTAGGTAAAGAACAAGGGTTCTGAAGTCAGGCTTCTTTTTATTAGCTATGTCACTTTTAATAAATTATATGACCTTTCAAAACTTCAGTTTATTCATTGCTGAAATGGGAATCACAATAGTCCTACTTCATAGAGTTGTTATGAGGATTAAATAAGTTATTACATGTAAAGCACTTACAAAAGTGTCTGGTACTCATTAAATATTAGCAGAAGTGGTAGCACAAATGTGTAACATGTGTATTTTATCCATTTGTTGGCTAATGGGCAGACCAATACTTAATTCAGGAGAAATTGGAGCAGTAAAAGTTAGTCTCAAGAACTGTGCATTCCTAAGCAGATACTTCCATTTACAAAGACTCCATAAATTCTGATTATGTGACTTTATAATGGACAGCTTTAAACTATCTTTGGAATCGATTGCCTATTAAGCACTATTATTATATACCTAGGAAATATTGCTCTTGGTCCAAAACATCTACTCTTCCACTTAAAAATAAGTAAATAAACAAATGGCAAGGAACATGGAACATTAGGCACATTTATATATCGAAAGTACCATTCTCCTGTCAGCATATTTTAGCAAATGACAATAGCATCCATAAATTACTTATGTGCTGTCTTTGCACACAGAAAGTGAGTCCCTTATCATAAAAAGGCCATCCACATTTTAGCATAATTTTATAAGACTGTGACTATATATTCAGGGAAAGTAAACAAATTTAGCTTTCCATCCAACATGCATAGAAGCTCTTTATATTTCTGTGGGTGAGGAGGTTAATCACCAAAGAGGATGACTCTACAAATAATATGCATTGTGTATATCCTGTTTCTGCCTAAAGTCAGAAAAGTACGGATTTTTTTCACCATCTGGGCTTTTAGACCCTGTACTTTCAAAAGCATTTTCAGTGCCCATCTCTCCAGTACACTCCAGTGCACTTTGAGCAGCACATCAAATGAAATGAGAAATCTTTCCTAGCTATAGGTCACGCTTCACAGGTCTGAGAGTGTCCAAGCATATGCCAGCTAGCAAAGAAATAAAGGCACAATGACTAGAAGAGCACAGAGACACAAGTAAGTTTGATTTTTAACTTGGGATCCTGAGGCAGTGCAATGGCATGACCTCTACAGAGGTAAAAAGGTATAATTTTACTCCATAATTGAGTAAGACTAGAGATGTAGAGATATAAAGTGAGGAAGAGTGAAAATGGGATGTGAAAAGAAGAGTTAAGTTTTGGTTATCCAATTACATTTGTTATTTCTGTTTTATTTGGGTCAGTTTAGTTTCCTAAGGATAGCTAATTGGCGATGTTTGAAAGTAGCACATACAAATTTTGTCTTTCAATATGTTAAGGTTAAAATCAATGGGCTTATTTTGTCCTGGGAGGTATGTCACATAGGCTTTCTTTTCTGGAGACAATTTGATTTTTAACTCATTAGGCATTAACCTCTTTAGAAAACAGTTTGACCATTCCATAAGATGTTAAACATAGTGTTAACACATGAGCCATCAACTCCACTCTTAGATGTACCCAAGAGAAATGCAAACAGATGTCCATATCAAAACTTGTACATGATGTGGCTATGGGCCAGGGGAGGGGGGAAATGGGTGAAATAGATAAAGGAGATTAAGAACATGCTTATCTTGTTGAGAACTCAGAAATGTATAGAATTGTTGAATCATCGTATCATACACCCAAAACTAACATAACACTGTATGTTAATAATATGTGAATAAAAAAAATTTGAATGTTCAAAGCACCATATTCAAAATAGCCAAAAAATGGGAAAAATACAAATATCCATCAACTGATGAATGGATAAATAAAACCTGGCATATCCATACAACAAAATAGTATGCCACACTAAAAAGCAAGGAGGTACTGGTATAACGCTATAAAGTTGATGAATCTTTTTTTTTTTTTTTTTATGTTTATCCATTTTCTGAGAGACATAGCGTGAGTGGGGGAAGTGCAGAGAGGGAAACACAGAATCAGAAGCAGGCTCCAGGCTCCAAGCCGTCAGCACAGAGCCCAACACCAGGCTCAAACTCAAAAACCGTGATATCATGACCTGAGCTGAAGTGGGCTGCTTAACTGACTGAGCAACACAGGTGCCCCTAAAGTTGATGAATCTTAAAAACGTTGTGCTAAGTGAAAGAAGTCAGTCACAAAAGACCATGTATTGTATGACTGCATTTATAGGGAGTCTCCAGAAGGTAAATCTATAGAAACAGAAAGAATATTAGTATTTTCCTCAGGCTGGAAGAAAGAGGTTGGGAAGAAGGTGGAAGTAAGTGCTGTTTCTGGGGGTAATGGCTTCATTCAATTAATTGTGATGATGGTTGCGCAACTCTGAATATACTAAAGCCATTGAATTACACAATTTAAATTGATGATTTATATCTTTTTTTAATATAAAATTTATTGCCAAATTGTTTTCCATACAACACCCAGTGCTCATCCCAACAGGTGCCCTCCTCAATGCCCATCACCCACCCACCCCCACTCTCCCACCCCCCATCAACCCTCAATTTATTCTCAGTTTTTAAGAGTCTCTTATGGTTTGGCTCTCTCCCTCTCTAAGTTTTTTTTTTTTTCCTTCCCCTTTCCCATGGTCTTCTGTTAAGTTTCTCAGGATCCACATAAGAGTGAAAACATATGATATCTGTCTTTCTCTGTATGACTTATTTTACTTAGCATAACACTCTCCAGTTCCATCCACGTTGCTACAAAAGGCCATATTTCATTCTTTCTCATTGCCAAGTAGTATTCCATTGTGTATATAAACCACAATTTCTTTATATCTCAATAAAGTTGTTAACAATTTTTAAAAAAATCAATGCACTTGGGAGTTAGAGCACTAGGCCTTGAATAACTAGCCCTACCCCTCAAGCAAATTTCCTCGACTTTCTGATTTGTCTCACTGATAGAAAACAAATAAGAAGAGGCTCTTAGGTACAACAGAATAACTATAGGCTTTGGGATCAGACAGACCTGAATATGTATTCCAGATCTTCTAATTAACTGTGTGACTCTGGCATGCTACTTGACCTGAGTGAGCTCATGCATATCATTGGCGAGAGGGGGAAAATAATAGTTAACTTTAGGATTGTGGAAAAATCACAAACACACAAAATAATCAACATAAACTTCCTACCCCATAGTATGAGCTCACTCACATGGTAACTCATTAAGTTCATTAGGTTTCCGTGAAGGTCAAATGAAACTATTCATTGAATGAAGGCACACTATAAACTTTAAAGCATTCTATATTTATTATTATTTTATTACAGAATATCAAATTTTAAAATAATTGCCTGTTATATAATTACATATCTAAAGCAAATTATATTTAAAGCACATTCAGTGATTGTTTTTTATTTTTTATTTATTTTTATTTTTATTTTTATTTTTAATTTTTTAATATAACTTATTGTCAAGTTATAACATACAGTGTATACAGCATGCTCTTGGTTTTAGGGGTAGATTCCTGTGATTCATCACTTACATACAACACTCAGTGCTCGTCCTAACAAGTGCCCTCCTCAATGCCCATCACCCATTTTCGCTTCACCCCTGGCCCCCCATCAATCCTCGCTTTGTTCTCTGTATTTAAGAGTCTCTTATGGTTTGCTTCCTTCCCTCTCTGTTTGTAACTATTTTGCCCCCTTCCCTTCCCCCATGATCTTTTGTTAAGTTTCTCAAGTTCCACATATGAGTGAAAACATATGATATCTGTCTTTCTCTGACTGACTTATTTCACTTAGCATAATACCCTCCAGTTCCATCCACGTTGTTGCAAATGGCAGGATTTCATTCTTCCTCATTGCCAAATAGTATTCCATTGTATATATAAGTATTTTTTTTTAATGTTTATTATTTTTGAGAGAGAGAGAGAGACAGTATGAGGGGGGGGGGCAGAAAGAGAGGGAGACACAGAATCCAAAGCAGTCACCAGGCTCTGTCTGAGCTGTCAGCACTATGCCCGATGCAGGGCTGGAACTCACAGACCGCGAGATCATGACCTGAGCTGAAGTTGGATGCTTAACTGACTGAGCCACCCAGGCGCCCCTAGTGACTGTTTTTTAAATTTTTCTAGGTTATTCCATGTATTAATTTCCCACTGCTGCAAATCACCACAAATTTATTGGATTAAAACAGCACAGATTATTCTCTTAAAAGTTCTGGTGTTCAGAAGTCTAAAACCAAGGTGTTGGCAGGTTGTATTCCTTCTGGAGGCTTTCATTTCCTTGCATTTTCAGCTTCTACAGGCTGCCTGCATTCCTTAGCTTGTTACCCCTTCTAGCATCACTTTAACCTCTTACATTCACTGACACTTAGGTTTCCTGCTCCTTATTATAAGAACCCTTGTGATTATATCAGGTCCACCCAGATAATGCCAGCCTAATTTCCCCAACTCGAGATCTTTAACTTGATCACATCTGCTAAATCCTTTTTAGGGTAACATTCACAGGTTCTGAAAATTAAAGCATGAACATATTTTGGGGGATATTTTCAGTCTACCACATTCCAGGACAGTAGAAAAAAAAGAAGCCCAGTTTTTGAAAGACACATTTTTTCATAAAGGAAGGTCTTTATGATTTGTTTTATTGTTATTGCACTAGTATCATCATAGTGACAGTTATTGAGAATTTGCCAAACACTTGAAATTAATATCTCATCATATCCACAACCCTATGGGTAGGCACTATTAATATTTTGTCCATTTTACAGATGAAGAAACTGAAGATCAGGGAGATGATATAATCTACACATGGTCACAAAGCTAGGAATTTTTCAAATACAGGCTGGGTGATTCCTGGGAGTGTACACTTACTGTAGTGCCTCCCTTGGGTACTGAAACAGTTAGTGAAAATGAATTACTTGGCAGGTGCAATGTTTCTATGCATCTATCAGATCCTAAAGGTGGAACTGATGATAATATGGCAAAAGTAATCCAAAGGATAGCTTAAATATTCCTTCTTTGAGGCTAGGGCAGTTCCACAAAAGCCTGGAATGGTTCCCCAGCCTTTGGAAATCCTACCATCAGACATACCTGTTCATGTCCATAGTATGCTGCAATGTGCAATGGAGTGAAAAAAACTGCATCTTGAACATTGACATTTGCGCCATGTTGCAGCAGGACATCAGCAACCTGGACAAGAAAGAGAGCTCAGGTAAGACCTTTATTTGGGGCATCTGCCTATCAAAATTCATTTTACAACCACCAGGTACAACTCTTCTTCAGGAATCACCATCCAGGATGAGTTTTCTTCCATCTCCCTTCTCTGAAATCTCCAATGGCTGCTTTTGTACAGAAAATGAAGACCAAATCCCTTACTGTGGCTTCCAAAGTTCTCCTCAATCTGGCATTATCCTTTAAATGTATTTCCCATTATTCTCTTTCTTAAACTCAATAATGTAGTAAGATTGCATTCCATTTCCTGCTCCTTTGAGTCTTTGATCACATCATTTCCTCAGCCAGGAATTATCTGCTGCCCAATCTACAGATATTTAAACCCAAGCTAATTACCTTCTACTCCAATTTTTCTTTGATTTTCCTCCCTTCATTGCCAACTGACTTTCTGAATTTGTCTTCCTTCTTCTTAAATCTCATGTAACTTTCTTTCGTGCCACATAGAACATAGAAAAATTATATACATGTCTTTTCATCTCTACTAAAGAATAAATCCTTTCAGGACAAAATACATCACATTCATCTTTATAATCCTATCCTGGCATGTTTCCATGCAAATAGTAATCATTCCAAAGCATTTATTGAATGAATGAGTGAATGAGTGAGTGAATGAATGAATGAGCAAGTAAATAACACTACCAGGAGCTGTTGGGCAACTGTCTTCACGGAAAATTACAGATTGCCAACAAATCTGCTAGCCCTTCAGATTTCTTCTCCTCTCAAAGACCTATCTCTATGTCTCACTTCTCTGGAAAACTGTTTAGAATCATTTCCTTCAGATGCACTCATTCTTATTGTAGATTTTCCTAATGCACTATCTATTTGTCATGTGGTAAAATAATATACATTTGGAAAAATTTTCAAAAGTCTGTTAGACTTAGGAGAGAAAACAGGAAGATAAGATCTAAAAGCTCAAAGGACTTATGTTCTAACAACTCTTCTGTTCCAATAAACAAATTGCGTCCTTAGTCAAGTTTCCTTTCCTGTTTGAATCATAGCCTTTCAGAACTGGAGAGGCACCATGGACAGACATTACGTATTAAGCCCCTATGTTTGAAAGAGAAAGAAATTGAAAATGAGAGGAAGTAGAAAATTTCTCAAAGTCATGGAGCAATTGTCAGCACAGAAATGAATCTTTAGGCTCTTGCTTAAGCTTTGTGTCTGAGTGCTCCATAGTTTTAAATAGTTCATTCACTCTATCATCCATTTATTCATGCATCAATACACAATTTATTGAGCATGTATGAGCTAAAGCTGTGTTGTTTTACATGTTTATTCTCAAAATTTATTCAGTCACTAGAATAACATTAGAAGTGATTGACATACAAAAAAGGAATTCTTGTTGGGCCATTTGAAATTTCTGCTGGGTTCAAAAATATAAACAGGTGTATAGGCTTCTATACATTCCCAGAATAATGCTTTTGCTGATATTTGGGTATTGCTAACTAATGATCCATAGAATACATAATGTATACAATGAATTGTTTTTCTAATAACAAATCAAAATCACAGTTAATATTTAATATTTATTGAGGATATATATTGTGTCAGACCCTGCACTAAGTGCATAAATGGTAACTGGAGTGTCCTGTTTCACACAAAACACAGAAATATAGGTGCTACTCTTCCATTTTAAAGGTGAAGAAACTAAGCCTCATGAACTTAGTTAAGTTTCTACAGCTAGTAAAGGGCAGAACCGGAATTCAAATCTAGGTTCCCATTGATTTTAAACATTTTCCATCAGGCTCCTCCTGTGACCTTGACCTCATTAAGGCTAACCTTTAAGTAAATGAACTGACTCAAACCCAGATGAGAGGAAACTTTCTCTCAGTAGAAGCTCTGTAGATTCAGCTTGGAAATGAATACCAGAGCCATTTATATAAAGCGTGTCATATCTTAGACTTCACATGCCTGAGAGTTCAATCTTAGGAACCTTTACAGAAGGTCACAAAAGATCAAGTAAATGAAGCTTTTTACAATTTCTCTTATTTTAAATATAGCATAAAATAGAGTAGACAGCATGCATTTTTATTGTAATAGGGACTCTCCAATGTTAACATATAGAGCCAATTTCTTAGGCATGGTTCCAGAACTCACTTTCATTTTAAAAGATAACAGCTCTTAGGCTTCAATAAATGGTCCAAAGCAAACTTTTTTCCTCCTAAGTTTGCACTTATCCAGTCATTCAGAAGGTCAATCTTTTGGCTGAAACTTCATTAATTATGGAGTGCTGGCCTTCTGAGAAACTGTCAAAATGTAAGTCTTAATGCAACCACACAGAGTCATTATTGAACTGTAGGCTTTATTTAGTTTGTTTTAAAATTTAAGGAAATATTTAACTATTGAGAGCAATGTACATTGGAATTATCTGAAAAATGTTATATGTTACTTATATGAGTAGAATGCACTTATTGATTTTTATGACTTTTGGAATCATATGGGGAGAGTATCTCTTGGCATATGTGATATGGCATATATTATGGGAATGTAATGTATTGTGATGTACAAATATGTCTGTCATGTGGCTAAGACAAATATACTTGTATTAGCATTTAGCCTGGAACATATATGTATCAGATCATCAGTTCCCTTCTCTTGAACTTGAAAAAGTTGGTAAAGCAATTTCACTTGCTTTCTACTACATGAAGCCCCATAAAGTCACAGTCTAAATCTATTTATTTGCCACTATGCTAAGTATATTATAGACACCCAAATAACTGTTCAATTGTTCTGTATTTCTGGTAAAAAAATTATATATTATGAAATATGTTAATTTTGATATATAATGATATACAAGAAATTGTATATCATCATTTATAAGGGAATTTATATATTAACAATTAGGACTCAATTATAAGATAGAAATTTTAAATAATTCAATTCAATAAATATTTATTGATCACTTATTTTAAATTAATATTTAGCAAACCCCAGTGCCTTCTCCACGCCAGGAACTGTGATTAGAGTTTTATATGTATACATTATCTCATTAAGATTTTTGCAAGGCAGGGGCACCTGGGTGGCTCAGTTGGTTAGGTGTCTGACTTTGGCTCAGGTCATGATCTCACAGTTAGTGAGTTTGAGACCCGTGCTGGGCTCTGTGCTGTCAGCTCAAAGCCTGGAGCCTGCTTTGGATTCTGTGTTTCTCTCTTTCTCTGCTCCTCCCGCACTCATGCTCTGTCTCTCTCTCTCTCTCAAATAAATGTTAAAAAGAATTAAAAACATTTTTTGCAGGGCACAAAATTATTGGCTTAAGATTTTTTGATAAAATACAGTTTTGGTTTTTTTCCTTGAAAGCAATATCAAAACTACTAGTGAAATCGTAAAGTAGAAAAAAGTGTTATCACAGAAAGAATATCTTAATAATCTTTAAACACTTTAAGGAAGTGAACTGTATTATATTTAGATTTGTATACCTGACATATATGTCAGTATTATTATTATGATTAAAGGAATGATACTCAAATATGGTCTGGTAACTAGGTACATTTTCCTGATTGAAGGATAAATACCAAAAAGTGCTTCCCATTAAGTAGTTGTTTTATGAGCATAGAAAGTGGATCATTATTTTAAGAGCTCCTGATTATTTTGATACTAGGAATTACTATATATATTATACTTCACAGATATTTTTATTTACCAGTTGACTCACCAAAAGATCAAAGTGGAGCCTCTTCGATTTTCAGGTTGTAATTTAAACATGTATTTGTACATTCTGCTCTTTTTCCTAGAAAGCCTCCCTTCTCTTTCTCTGCCTGTCATATAACCAGTCTCAAGATCAAGCTTATATTCTTTTTTTTAATTTTAAAAATGTTTATTTATTTTTGAGACAGAGAGAGAAAGAACATGATCAGGGGAGGGGCAGAAAGAGAGGGAGACAGAATCCTTAGCAGACTCCAGGTGCTGAGCTGACAGCACAGAGACTGATGCGGGGCTTGAACCCACAAACCGTGAGACCCGAGCCAAAGTTGGACACTTAACCAACTGAGTCACCCCGGCGCCCCTGATCAAGCTCATGTTCTTCATGAGAAGTTCCTACAAATACTTTACCATATTGATAATTTCTTTCTCTGAATGATTCTAATACTTATCCTCACAACCTAACCTTCCCATTAATTATCACTGGGGTAAACCACTATTATACAAAATCTTAAACTTTTATTTTCCTGTTCTAAACGTGCCTCAGTTAAGTGTAAGAAGTTTGGACTTCAGGAAAAATAATTTTTCACTGCAATTTAATCATAACTAAAATAGCCAGTGCTTACAATTTAAAATTCTAGAGACATGTAGAAGAATGAACCTGGACCGCTTTCTTATACCATACACCAAAATAAATTCAAAATGGATGAAAGGTCTAAATGTAAGACAGGAAGCCATCAAAATCCTACAGGAGAAAATAGGCAGCAACCTCTTTGACCTTGGCCACATCAACTTCTTACTAGATATGTCTCTACAGGCAAGGGAAACAAAAGCAAAAATGAACTATTGGGACCTCATCAAGATAAACAGTTTCTGAAAAGTGAAGGAAACAATCAACAAAATTGAAAGGCAATCAATAGAATAGGAGAAGATATTTGGAAATGACATATATGATACAGGATTAGTATCCAAAATCTATAAAGAAATTATCAAACTCAACACCCAAAAAACAAATTATCCAGTGAACAAATGGGCAGAAGACATGAATAGGCACTTTTCCAAAGAAGACACCCAGATGGCTAGTAGATACATGAAGATGCTTAATATCACTCATCATCAGGGAAATACAAATCAAAACCACAATGAGGTACCTCATGCCTGTCAGAGTTGCTAAAATTAACCACCCAAGAAACAACAGATGTTGATAAGCGTGCAGAGAAAGGGGAACACTTTTGCACTGTTGGTGCAGCCACTCTGGAGAACAGTATGGAGGTTCCTCAAAAAATTAAAAACAGAACTACCCTATGACCTAGCAATTG